ACACATGCTTCCTGGTGCCTCACTCAGAAAGTCCCCAGCATTCTCTTTAGAGAACTGTGGCGTTTTGGGAAAGCAGTCGTGACCTGTACACAGCATTTCCAAGCACACTGTCTGCTTCTTAGCAAACTCTTCTCACAGATTTTCACTAAAGTGCCGGCTAAGTCTTTTTAACAAGTTCAGACGAGGTCTTAGCCACTCCCAATTTATTTTCCAACTCTTTAGAAAAGCATGAATGTAATGGAAATAAACTGGGTTTAGTTTTGGTGTCCATCACCACCAGTCTCAGGACAAACAAGCAGACGTCACGACTCCTCTCAGGTAGTCCAGTACTGGGCGTAGCGTCAAAGTCCAGCTTTTACACACACAAAGTCTCAGGCTCCACTTCTTTTTACATGTTCACCGATTGTGATGTGGAGTCCGTTAAAGTCCTGTAAATGTCAGACTTGAGGAAACGTGGGTAAGAGTCCCTCTCCATTAACCCGTAGACGATCTTTTGAGCGTCATCAAAACACACTGTAGAAGGCGCCTCTATGTTCTGCTGGATCCTTTCCCTCGTCTTTTGATCAATGTTGATCTGGAAGCAGAGGAAACATAATGAGGACCAATGAAGAAAAACTAAAGCAGCCAGCGCTCCTTGTTCTGTAAAGTGCCATAAATCTGTCTGGATTATCAAGAGCTACATACCTCTCTGGGAGATTCAGCTTGAATGTAGCGTTTGAAGATCTTTTTCGCCCTGGATGACATCCTGAAGGAATTTCTTATCTTCTTAAACTCCTCACAAACCACCCAAAACTCAATGTTTTCATCACTGAACTCCGACTTCAGGAATGCCTGGAATATCTTCATTCCATCTAAAGATGGTTAAAAAAAAGATCTGCAGTTAGCCATTGTTTTTCGACGTTTAGTGACTAAGATGAATCTGAGACAGTGTATTGATTAACTTACATTTGGATGAAAGAAGCCTCTCAAGTGATTGTGACCACTGAGACATATCTTCAAAACAAAGCCTGTAAACGAGGAGAATAAAGTTAGCACAGTTATCCATACATGAAGCATAAAATATGAGCAGGGTTTGCTTTTAGCTTGTAGTTGAGTTTTTTCTCACTTACCCCTCAGTTTTTGTGGCTTGGGATGACTTACGCTGCAGCCGATACTTCAGGTTTCCCCCTCTGGTTAATCAAACAGAAACGAACAAAAGTTATTTTACTTATATTCAAACAAAAACAAGACAAGATGTGATGATATTGATTGGCCAGAATAAATTTTACCTGTATTTCTCTGTCTTCTTGTTGTCAGTGTCCATGTTGATTTGCTGAAGCTCCTTTGTTGGAGATGTGACTAAACCTGGCATGGCAACAGTTCTTTGTACATGTATGACTAAATGTTGGGCTCTTAGAGAGTTATGAGATCTCTAACTGCGTCTGTTTGACGAGCCCGCGCAGCGTTGCCTTATATATCTGCAGAGATGAACGTCACATTCTGCAGCAACCACACGACAAAGAGGAAGTTGGGGAATGACGCAAACGAGCAAACAGACAGACAGCAAATAGCTACAGGTTTCTGTTCATACTGTACTCAAACGTGCATCATTACTTGTTTGGTTTAAAGTCAGTGGATGCAAATAGGCCAGTGGAAATTTCTGCAGCAGATAAGCAAATGCTTTAATCTCTATTCCACTTTGCCTCGAGAGCCAGTACCACTGTTCTAACTTTTGGAAACATTAGTGAACTAGATGCTGAGGCTATTTCAGCTCTCACAGTCAAATTTAAACATAGCATGTTCTTGCTCCTTAGCCTTGTTGGTCATTTGCATTATATGGGCCAAAAAATCCACTGAGATAACGAAAGACTGCATCTTTGCATTAGCTAAAGTAGCGGTGTCCAGTTAAATGCAGAAATTCCTCTGCTCTCTTGAAATATATATTGTATTTTTTAAAGAAGAAACACGTTCCTGCATTTGAAAATGATAACCTCTGAGTTCACTACAGTCAGAGAGTCTGGCGCTACAATTGTGCGTACACCACCATGAGCTCTAGCCTCTAATACAGGAATGTCAAACATGGACAAAGAGTGAAACTCAGCCCATTGGCTTTGCAAGTGTAAAAATGATCTTGTAGCATGGTTATGAAAATGCATGGAAAGAATAAAAAGATATGTCTAGATCTTGACAAACTGTTTCAATCATAAAAAGTAAAAGACTAGTTTTACAACACATGTGAAGGTTTGTACTTTTCTTATGTATGGTTAACAAGTCTCTGTAGATTCTCAGTCATCCAGGACATGGAAGTTCTAAGTGGGGGCTGTCCCTTTTGACACCTTGCCTCATCACATGAGGCAAGGTGTGAAAAAAGTTGGATGTAAGCCTCAACACTGAAGTTTACGGGAAGCCAACACACATACAGACCAGTAGCTACTCTTTGACTGCCACCACCCTCTGGAATACAAACTTGGGGTTATCAGGACCCTGCAACACCGGGCAGAAAACATTACCTCTGAGCCCGAAGGAAACAAAAAGAAACACACACCTAAAGAAAACACTTACAACATGTCGTAATTTCAACTGGGCCTTCATCAAATCAGTAATGATCCACAGTAAAGGTCAGACAACAACTAGCAAGAAACAGAGTGACAAGCAGAACAATGTTGTCATCCCTTATGCATCAGGTTCATCAGAGAAACTCAGGTGAGTTTTCTCTAAGCACGACGTCTCAGTGCACTTCGGACCCAGCCACATACTCAGACAAAAACTGGTTTATCCCAAGGACAAAACTTCCAAACACAAGTTCAGGAATCCAGTCCACGCTGAGCAGTGCATCAAGGAGTGCTAGGACCTCTACACTGGAGAAACCAAGCGGTCAGCCACTTCAACAGTACAAGACTCAGTTGAACATCTGCACCCAACTGACAAAGGTCACTCTTTTAAGGACGCCAACATTCACATTTTGGACAGAGAAAGACAAGTAAAAGAGGCCATCTACATCCCTGTGAACGACCATTATTGAACAGAAGGAGTGGATTATGTCACCAACTGCCTGCCACCTACAGTGCAGTCATGAGCTCGCTTCCCAGGTGTCTCAACCCCAAGTCACATCTTGCATCAGGTGACCTCAACAGGTCACATGATAGAGAAGCGCGAGATCTCACAGTGGTTACACCTGAAACCTCCAGTGGTATCACCCACGCCTTTGTTCAAACCTTGGCTCATGTGATTAATAGTGAGTACCTCTTAGGGACAGCCGCCACTAGGTATTAAATACCTGTGACCCTCTACCTTTTGTTTTACAACTGAAGAAGCCTTTTGGATGAGAGCTGAAATGTCTTCACAAAAGCTTAAAGAAGTCAAGTTGCTCTCTTTTTCAAGCTCCTTAAACTACAGGTAATAAGATATCTCACATTTAATATGAATGGCTTATTAAATGTGAACTTTCCTTGTACTGCATCACATGAAAAGAAAGTTAGGTTATTGTGCAGCTCTTTTACTGATCTGCCCACTTAATATCAAATTGGGGTACATCTAAACCAGGAACTAAAGTGACTTTGACACCACGGCTCTATTTGCTAAATCTTAAATAAACATAAATTGACCTGACGCAATATCATAGTTCTGCTTTGGCTATTTGTAAATTTGTCAAAGCTAACTGAAGACCTTCGTTCTTTAGTAGCATTTGCTACTTGCTTCTATCCATCCATCCATCCATCCATCCATCCATCTTCATCCGCTTTATCCGAGGCTGGGTTGCGGGGGCAGAAGCCTAAGCAAACTTGCTTCTAAATTCAGATAAAACTGAAGTTATTATACTCGCACTATACTTGCACAGAGGGGCTCGCTTGATTGATGGGGTTTCTCTCTATTATTGTGGGGTCTCTATATTACAATACAAAGCACCTTAAAGCAAGTTTTATTAAACTGAACCAAACTGAACTGAATTTGCCATTGTGGGAGTTACTTAGTAAAAGTTTATCCCCCCCTTTGGTGTTTGCAGCTGATTGTGCAATCAAATCAAACCAGCTATGATATATGGTTTCATAAATCTCCCACATGACACCTAACCTTTCTATAAATGAGTATTTTAACACCCATATGGTGAACAAATTCAAGATTCAATGTCAGATGATGCAAGAACAGCTGACATGCTGCCTCTTTTGTATCTACTTTAACTGCGGCTCAAACACTGCCTCATATATTATGCACCACTTTGTGGTAAATTTCTCTTGTCTTTTGGCAGACTTTTGTAATACGGGTTTTGTTTCTGTTTACAATCTCTTGCCGGTGGAGGCAGAGAGGAAACACGGGGGAAAGAGAGGGGGACGACAAAGGTCACATGTCGGAACCAAACCACGGACAGTGTGGGTTATGTGGTGTGATGCTTAGACCACTAAGCCCCCTCAGTGTTTCCATTTTAGACACAATTAAAGCTCAGGCACAGAAAGTATAACACAATCTCTGTTTTAGAAACATAAAGCTCGGGAAACATTTTGATCTAAAACCTGACATCGGTCAACATCATGGAGGAAAAACTACTAACGTCCTCGATTAGCATCCTTAATCCTTCCCCAGGCCTGTGAGCTGTGACAGTTTGGCTTTCCCCTGTCTTCCAACAAAACCTCTTAAGAGACAACAAGTCGTGAAACTGTTTCACTCTTTACTTCCTGCTTCTTTGTTGACAGGAACCTTTCATCTGTTCTCTGGAGGTCTAAAGTGTTTTTAAAATTCCAGTAACCCCTTTGTATTCATAAATTTATATACATTTCAGTTTTAGTTCCTCTCTTTTTGTGCCCCAGTTTAATCCCAGTGATGTAAGCAACAGATAACATAGATAAGCACTTCATGTGGGAGATGCAGGTCAACTTCTTCTTCTTCTTCC